AATGATGAAACACGTGTGCAAAATTGAACAGCAAAAAAAATAAACCAACAAAGCAAGCTATCAATATAAATTGAAAAGAAAAAAAAAATTCTAGCAACAACATCATTCATTAGCCGTTGACTATTTTTGACTTCATAACTGGCTTTTTTTTTTCTTTACTGGCACATCAGACTGTTAAGTGCAATATCTGTTTTGTCATATTTGTAACGGTTATACTACAAAAAAAAAAAGTTTTCTTCCTTTTTACCTATTTTCTTTTTTTTTTTTTTTTTTTGAAACCCCTTGACAAGTTTTCACTCATTAAAAATGCATAATAATGGTATCCACGGTTTTTCTAACTCAAAAAAAAATGTTGGTTTTAAAACATTTTGCTACCGTTTAGGTGTCGATGATGCATATCTGATGATAAACAGTTGGAATGTCAATTCGGCGCGACGACGAGGAATGCGCAGTAAAGAACAACTCCGAGAACGTATCGCCGAAGTATGTGTGTTTCATAAATGACTGTACATTTACTTCGTCCACACACAAAATTTTTTTCCTCCTTCTTCTCCATCAACAAATCGATTTTGATTTTTGAAGATTCAAAAGGCCCAAGAACAATACTTTTTTCATTGTTCTTTTTTGTCTTTTTTTTTTTTTTTTCATTTTCTTTATGCAGATTCTAAGTGATGACTTAATCGTTTCGTACGTTTAACGAATACATACAGAAACTGTAGAAAGAGATTCTGAAACAGATGATTAGATTGTAAAAACGAATGGTGAAGTTAAAAACAAAAACAAAATAAAGATGAGAAAAAAAGGAACAAAACGAGGTCTTAAAAAATAACAAGTTTTTATGTCTTAATTTACACATAAGGTTTTCTGAAGTTCTTAGTGCCGAAAAAAACCTGCTGTTTTCGCTGTTACTGTTGCCTACTGACAACGTTTAACTTGCCAACAGTGTAGTTGTGTACAGTATGTGTTTTGATAAGAACACAAAAAGAACATTTTTTTTTATTTTTGTTCTTTTCTGCTTATTAATTGAAGGGAAAACAAAAAAAAAAAAAAAAAAAAAAAAAAAAAA